TGCCTTCCCAAGGCCCGACCTCCTTCCCTTCTAACTTTTCTCTCCCCATCTCCACTTACCCCCAACCCACCCCACCCCAAGATCCCAATTTTCTCCACGGCAATTTTGTCTACTTCCCTTAGCCAAGAGGATAACTATATGTTTTTCCTTGGGTTCCCCTTCTTACTTAGCTTCTTTAGATTCACCTATTGTAGACTCCGTGACCCTTATTTATGGTTAGAAACCAATTATGAGTGAGTACATCCCATGTTCATCTTTTTGGGTCTGGGATACCTCACTCAGGATAGTGTTTTCTATTTCCATCCATTTGCATGCAAAATTCGAGAAGTCATTGTTTTTTACCGCAGCGTAGTACTCTAGCGTGTATATATTCCATACTTTCTTCATCCATTCTTCCACTGAAGGGCATCTAGGTTGTTTCCAGGTTCTGGCTATTACAAATAATACTGCTATGAACATAGTTGAACAAATGCTTTTGTCATATGATAGGGCATCTCTTGGGTATATTCCCAAGAGTGGTATTGCTGGGTCCAGGGGTAGGTTGATCCCGAATTTCCTAAGAAACCGAAACACTGACTTCCATAGTGGTTGCACAAGATTGCATTCCCACCAGCAATGGATGAGGGTACCCCTTCCTCCACAACCTCTCCAGCAAAGGTTATCGTTGGTGTTTTTGACTTTAGCCATTCTCACAGGTGTAAGATGATATCTCAAAGTTGTTTTGATTTGCATTTCCCTGATTGCTAAGGAAGTTGAGCATGACCTTAAGTGTCTTTTGGCCATTTGAACTTCTTCTGTTGAGAATTCTCTGTTCAGATCAGTGCCCCATTTTTTAATTGGGTTAATTAGCATTTTAAAGTCTAGTTTCTTGAGTTCTCTATATATTTTGGAGATCAGACCTTTGTCTGTTGAGGGGTTGGACGGGGGAGCACGGAGCCACGATTCTTAGTTAAGGGAACCACTTTAGGGTTGGCAAGAGACCTGACCCTAGAGGGGCTCCCAGGTGCCCAGGCTGAGGTCCCCAGTTGGTTCCTTGGGCAGTTGAGAATAGGGAACCTGAAATGACCCTATCCTTGAGCAATACTGACGAATATCTTGCATATCATCATGGAACCTTCATCTGGTGATGGATGGAGATGGAGACAGGGACCCACACTGGAGCACTGGACTGAGCTCCCAAGGTCCCGGTAAGGAGCAGAAGGAGGGAGAACATGAGCAGAGAGGTCGGGACCACGAGGGATGCGCCCACCCACTGAGACAGTGGAGCTGATCTATTGAGAGCTCACCAAGACCGGCTGGACTGTGACTGAAAAAGCATGGGATAAAACTGGACTCTCTGAACATGGCGAACAATGAGGGCTGATGAGACGCAAAGGACAATGGCACGGGGGTTTGATCCTACGTAATGTGATGGCTTTGTGGGAGCCCAGCCAGTTTGGATGTTCACCTTCCTAGATATGGACAGAGGTGGGAGGTCCTAGGTCTTACCACAGGGCAGAAAACCCTGACTGCTCTTTGGACTGGAGAGGGAGGGGGAAAGGAGTGGGGGGAGGGGGAGAGGGGTGGGAGGAGGGGGCGTAGGGGGGGAGGAGGGGGAGGGAGATCGGAGGCTGGGAGGAGGTGGAAACTTGTTTTTTTTTTCTCCTTTTCTCAATAAAAAAAGAAAAAAAAAGAAAAAAATGTGCATGTGTATACAATATATATTGGTCATCTCTACCCTTTATCTACTCTTTGAACCTTTCCCAGACCCTACCACCATATCCTCCTCCCAGCTCCATGTCCTGTTATTTTGTTGCTTGTAACACACTGAGTCTAATTAGCTACAGCTACTGTGAGCTCGTATGTATAATGGTCATGTCAGATCCGGAAGACACTGTTGCACAGAAATACTCCCCAACCTCTGGCTCTGCAGTCTTTCTGATCCCTCTTCCTCACTGTTCTGTAAACCTAGCAATAAGATGGTGCAGACAATAGTGACTATGACATGCTTAGCTATAAATGGATAGCTATATAAAACTTCCCTCAAGGCTCAGAGAACAACATGAATATAGAATTTTAGCATACTATAAACATGGAGAAGGAAAGGCAATTTATACTATTAGTTACACCAAGCATATTTATCCTAATTCCCAGTTAGATATTCCTTGCAGTTTAGGTTATATCATAAGAACATAGTTCATGCCAATTTTTTTTGTTTGTTTTTTTCAGTTGGCTTGCAAAATTTTAACAAACTCTATTATATATTGTGGCGTGGATCTAATGCCAAGCAACTCACTTTGGGCTTTTAAGAATTTATGGGACCCACACACAGTGCACATCAACGAGGCAAGTGTAACAACATAGGTGTTTAAGAGAGGCAATGTAAAGTGAATGAGACTTCAGCTCAAAGGGCATTACCATCCGAGGAGCTTGCTAGTGCACCCTTGAGCAAGTCTCTGTCTCTCTTTGAACCTCAGTTGCATCTCTAAAAAAAATAAAATGGGTTGAAAGCAACATCTATTATTATGGAATTGCAACAAAAATTATTGTGACGTTTGAGAGAAATATGTAGTTTTCTTCAAAAGTAGTAATCTGTATCTTTCAGAGTTCATGGGAATTTTCTCCACATGTTAGAATTAATATTTAGCAACAAACTCTAAATATTTTAGCAATAGATTGTCTTATGCACTGAAAATAAGTATTGCTGAATCTAGATGAAATGTCCATGTTCTTGGCTCCATCTCTCTCTCTCTCTCTCTCTCTCTCTCTCTTCCCTCCCCCCCCCCAAACACACACATTTCACACTTCTTAAGTGTTTATTTCTCCATTTGTTATGTCCTCAGGACAATTTCTAGGGACTAGTTGTTTTTCAGGGTTTTGGTTTTTTGAATACATTTTCAATTGAAATAGAATTGTACCACTTCCCCCACTCCCTTTCCTCCCTACAATCCCTTCCAGCTACCCTACCTCAAATCCTTCCCATGCCCCCTCCTCAAGAAGAGTCGATAGCTTCTTTTTATCGAATATTATTATTATATATTACATATATGTATCTATGTATTTGTTTATACGTACATATATGTTTATATATAAACATAACTTGCTGAGCCTGTTTTTGTTGTTTGTGGTTGTATGGATTCAAGGCTAACCACTCTGCACTGGACATAATAAGGGAGCACAAATTTCAACAGTTCAATTATCTTAGGTCTCTTCTTCTCCTTACTCTTCTATTCCATCTGATTATTCTTTTGACCTCCTGAGGCTGAGAAGCTTCTGTAAAGCAAAGGACACTGTCTCTAAGACAAAAAGGCAACCCACTTACTGGGAGAAGATTTTCACCAACCCCGCAACTGACAAAGGTCTGATCTCCAAAATATATAAAGAAATCAAGAAACTAGACCTTAAAAGGCTAATCAACCCAATTATAAAATGGGGCATTGAGCTGAACAGAGAATTCTCAACAGAAGAACTTCAAATGGCCAAAAGACACTTAAGGTCATGCTCAACTTCCTTAGCGATCAGGGAAATGCAAATCAAGACAACTTTAAGATACCATCTTACACCTGTCAGAATGGCTAAAATAAAAAACACCAATGATAGCCTTTGCTGGAGAGGTTGTGGAGAAAGGGGTACACTCACCCATTGCTGGTGGGAATGCAAACTTGTGCAACCACTCTGGAAAGCAGTGTTTCGGTTTCTCAGGAAATTCGGGATCAACCTACCCCTGGATCCAGCAATACCACTCTTGGGAATATACCCAAGAGAGGCCCTATCATACAACAAAAGTATATGCTCAACTATGTTCATGGCAGCATTGTTTGTAATAGCCAGAACCTGGAAACAACCTAGATGCCCTTCAACGGAAGAATGGATGAAGAAAGTATGGAATATATACATATTAGAGTACTACTCAGCAGAAAAAAACAAGGACTTCTTGACTTTTGCATACAAATGGATGGAAATAGAAAACACTATCCTGAGTGAGGTAAGCCAGACCCAAAAAGAGGAACATGGGATGTACTCACTCATATTTGGTTTCTAGCCACAAATAAAGGACATTGAGCTTATAATTCATGTTCCTAGAGAAGCTAAATAAGAAGGTGAATCCAAAGACAAACACATTGGCATCCTTATGAATATTAACCTTCATCAGGCGATGAAAGGAGACAGAGACACAGACCCACATGGGAGCACTGGACAGAAATCTCAAGGTCCAAATCAGGAGCAGAAGGAGACGGAGCACGAGCAAGGAACTCAGGACCACGAGGGGTGCGCCCACACACTGAGACAATGGGGATGTTCTATCGGGAACTCACCAAGGCCAGCTGGCCTAGGTATGAAAAAGCATAGGATAAATCCGGACTAGCTGAACATAGCGGACAATGAGGAATACTGAGAACTCAAGAACAATCGCAGTGGGTTTTTGATCCTACTGCACATACTGGCTTTGTGGGAGCCTAGGCAGTTTGGATGCTCACCTTAAGAAACCTGGATAGAGGTGGGCGTTCCTTGGGCTTCCCACAGGTCAGGGAACCCTGATTGCTCTTTGAGCAGATGAGGGAGGGGGACTTGATCGGGGGAGGGGGAGGGAAATGGGAGGCGGTTGCAAATCCTAAATAAATAAATAAATAAATAAATAAATAAAATAAAAAAAGAACTACTGAAATATGTGTCAGTCAAGGCATTCAGGGTAAATATAATTATAAACTCAAAAACATCTCCTCATACAATTCTGGGATCCTTGTTTTATAGAGAAAGGAGTTGAAAAGACAAAGAAAAAACCTGGAGGCAAATGCCTAAGGATGCTGATGCTTTAGGACAGACATCCAAAGTCAGGTTATGGAGATGAGCTGTGGATTATACTGATACTAAATTCTCAGGACTTGTGATGAACGGTTTCCTGAGAGAAGACCAAGTTCAGATTTGGTTCTGAAGTGAATTTTCAGGCTTCAAGGGATGGTGAGTTGCATGACACCAACAAGCTTCTGATTGCTGCCTTTCTTTTTTTTTTTTTCTTACAGCAAAAGTCAGGACAAGAGACTGCTGTGATAAATACACAGAGGGACAGGATACACTTTTGGAAGGACAATAGGCTGGAAGGTGAAGGAGAAATTGGAAGAAAATAGAAGAAGCTGATCTTGGGCTGCCAAACAAAGTTGTCTCTTCAATTAGGAAAGAGAAAAGATTTCATCATCCATTGTATTCACTGAAACCATTATGTCCTAGACATGAAAAGGGGGGGGGATATTTTGTAATATATGTAATATGCATATCACAGTAGGATTTACAGATTGTGCATATATGGGTCAGAAAAAAATGTGAGTGAATTTAAAATGGCAAAAAAAGGAAAGAAAAAAGAGGGAGGAGAGGGAAGCAAGTTGACCCCAAGCCTCCATTAGAGTGATTTCTAACTTTCTTTGTCTTTTTCTACACTAGACAGAAGACATTCAGTAATGGAAAAGTTTGTTGCCCACAGTGGTACAAATGATACCTGAGCATACAAGCAAAAATAGTCCTCCCCCACCAGTGAAAAAAATCTCTGAAAGTTTAGCTCTCTTCCAGCAAGTAGAATTCCATTCTGGCACCCCTGTTACTGTTAAGTTAAAGGAAATCTTTGACATGTGTTAGCTTTACATTTATAGAAGGGTCATGATTTTCCTCTTTAAAAAAATATTATCCTTGGCCTGTGTACATAGCTCACTTTCAAAACATTTTCCTGAATGCACAAGGCTATAGGTTCATTTCCCAGAATCACCCTAAAATAAAAAAATCCTAATTAAATCTGATGGTCCACACCACAGTGGGAGGCGAAGGCATCAGGATTCTGAGTTAGAGGCCAGACCTACACATTTATATAGTGAAAGCATGTCTCAAACAAACAAACAAACAAAAAAAAACATTTTTCTTTAAAACAAATGCTGAATATTATTTGAACAATATTATTTCTCTTTTTATCTCTCACTCCCTTTCCTGCTCTTTCTTATCTTTCCACTCTACTTAATCTCTAGAGTTAAAAACAAAAACATTAGAACACACTTTGCAGAGTTGATACCCATGACAAACAAAGGGGACCACCGCAGAATTAGGTCATTTTATGTCACAACTACCAGAAACTGTATTACTAAGAAGAATGCTTCAAAAATCTTTATCAGAGACTAAGGATACATGCACCCTCCAAATTTATAATCCATATTGTTGCAGATTTTATTAAATTTATATTAAAATTTTTAGTTAAAATTTTATATAATTTAAAAATTGTTCAATTGATTGAAAAAAACACCCTTTGTACACATTATAAATGTCTTTTTAAAATTCATATTATTTTGTTTTAAAAGATTCAGACATGTTGCTAGGCGTGATGTTACCTGCCTTTAATCTAAGCATTTGGGACATGGAGCTCTGTGAATTTCAGGGCAGCCTGGTCTATACAGTGAGTTCCAGGACAGCAAGGGTTGCATAGTTAAACCCTGTCTCAAGAGAGGAGAAAAGAAGAAAGGGGGAGGGAGGAAGAGAGGGAGGGGAGGGAAGAAGAGGAAGTAAGTAGAAAGGACGTCACCATGCCTGTGTCATGGTCTTGTACATTTTCTTTTCTGAATTTCTTCAACAATTTAGTGGCAATGAACATCCAAGCCACACTGAGGATTTCATCCATGCTCGTATAAGAGCACCAGACATCACAATGTACAAGGTGAGATAACTTTCAGCAAATATGCACTGTCCTTATAAGCCAGAATTAATTGGAACGTCAGCTAGTTTCAAAATACAGTGGAAAGTAGTGGCTTTAACCTTTGAAAAAAGTAACTTGCCTCCTCGTCTCACCAAGGTGAATCTCTGCCCAATATGTCTTAGCAGGACAGATATGTTTGGCCCTTTAAAAAAATATAGCAAGATGCAAAGGGAAATCCGATAGAAGTGGATAACCTAATACATCCGATGACCCAAAGTCATCTTTGTTTTTTTTTTCCAACAGTAAAAGACAAATTAATTTTCTCTCTCAACTTGGCATTTATGAATTCTAATTTAATCACAAAAATTTAGACTTCCTGTGAGAGAATTCAAAGCCACATTATGAACATGATTTTCACATAAGGTTTGTGCCTTTCTCTAAAATTAGAAAGTAAAATAATAAAAAATAAAATCCCATGCTTGTATCAGACCTTGGGCAAAATTAGCATAGTCCTGCCGTCTCCTGTTATTTGATTCAGGAGTCTGGGGAATCATGTCGCCATCTGGACTGGAGTGCATATGGTCAGAGGGAGGCCTGGGAGAGTGTCCTCAAAAAGACCCCAGCTGACTGGGCCACCTGTTACCAAGGTAAGTGAGGGCGGAATACTGTTAGGTCACATCCCCCCAGGAATCTATCCCTCATCTGCAGAAAGCTGATCCTTTCACATCAAAACACAGCTTTATGCGCAGAAGACTGACTCGGTGGGGCTGAGATCATGAGCCTGCTCTACAGAACGCGATAGAAGACAGCTTATTATGAGCAGCGAGCAGATGAAGCGGTCAATCTGAGGTTGTCAGGGAGGTAGAGGTTGCTGGCTGGGAAAAGCAAGAAGGCGGGATTTATTCAGACAGCAGAAACTCCGAACAACCACAAGAGCAGAGGTTGTAAACAAGGTCAGGGATGCAGTATCTAGGCCGAGAGGCTTATTTGTGACCCATGGGACAAAATGTAGATCAAAAAAAGGACAGCAGAAGGGATCTTGGTGGTCATGCCAGCATCGACACCAGTGTCTGCTGAGAGGTGATTGTCCTCCACGCCTCCTAAGGAGCGGACAGCAAAGAGTCAAAAATTAATGACTGTCCCAAGATCTCAGGAGACCCTCCTCAGAGGTACTTACAAATAAACAGATAGGATCTGAAGGGGAAGCAGGGATAGTTGAGGCCCTGCTATTGTGGAGGTGAGCACTTTAAGTAGCAGAACATGGGTTTTGGCATTGAGGTGAAACTGCAGAATTCCAATCTGATATTGTACTCGGTGCATCAGGCTCTGACACCCAAACCCCTTCCAAGAGCTGTTGTTCACACCAGGCATAACTTCTTTTCAGGAATTTTTGTTCACAAGGGTATCGTAAACATTTTACCAGAATAAATTAGTCTCTGTTGTCACCTTTATATTGAGGTTTACCGTCATAATCACTTTCAGAAATGTTGAATCTTTACTCTATTAAAATGGTCGTTCTTCTTCCTTTCATCCCTACAGCTATAGTCGGGGTCTTGGATTGACTCACTCTCTAAATTGAATGTCCCCAAATTGCCACACTCAATACCCTAAATCCAGACAGAAGAAGTCAGGCCAGGGATCACCACAAACCCATTCAGGCAGTTAGGGGTTATGTCTCCAGAGAGAGATAGGATGATAAGAACAGGAGGCAGAAATTCACTGGGCAATTTACGGTAAAGACCCCATCACCAATAATAATAATAATAATAATAATAATAATAATAATAATAATAAATATTAAAAACCACCAATTTCTTTCTTGACCAATAGTCAGAGATGTCCTTGAGACTCTCAGCATCTCCATCTTTTCTTGAGGCTAAATATTCCAAAAGTGCTTTGGAAACTCAGATCTCTGATCTGGTTCCTAAATGATTCTAGAATCTTTAGGAAGGCAAAGTGTTGGAGTAGTAATAAGGGCTTGTTCAGAGAAATGAAAGCTCCTCCTGATAAGAGATTATAGTCTCTGCCCTGGGAGCAGAACTCATCTTTCAATGGAGACAGGTCAGTCTCCTGGCCTAGGACCCATCCCTAGGAAAGTAGACTTATCTTAAACCACTCTAATGAAATAAACGGAATAATTAGCTCCTTGTACTCAGGGCCTAACTCAGGTATATTAAGGCAACTATTACTGAACAGGTATGCCTACTGTAGTTTCTTACTCCAAAATAGGATAGAAAGAGAATTTGGGGGGAAATGCTGTTTCAAAATAAGAGAAGGAGCCGGGCGGTGGTGGCGCACGCCTTTAATCCCAGCACTCGGGAGGCAGAGGCAGGCGGATCTCTGGGAGTTCGAGGCCAGCCTGGTCTACAAGAGCTAGTTCCAGGACAGGAACCAAAAGCTACGGAGAAACCCTGTCTCGAAAAATCAAAAAAAAAAAATAAGAGAAGGAGTTTGTAAGAAATAGTAAATATGGATCTTTTCTATCAAAAATTATACTATACTATACTCTATTATACATGGTAGATTGATAGATTGGTAGATATGTATAGAAAGATATGATTGTTCTTTTTGCTACAGAAGTCAGCCTCATGCATTTAGAAATTTTTATGAATTTCTCCCACTAGTATTGACAATTGTTCTCTAGGCTTGACCCTCTAGACCTAGTTCAATTTAAGTCCTAACCAAGTGTAGCCTTTTGCTTGCCTGTGAGAGCTTTGTGTTTATTCAGTCTGCCTGAAGTCATATTCAAGTATCAGGTGACACAGGACTGAAAAACAGAAGGAGCACTTTTGATCTGAGCTAATGCGCCTGTCCTTTTCCCATTCTCTGCTGTGCATACGGTCTTTGGCTATCATGGGCAATCTTATGAGGGAGACAGCCTTTAAGACATTCTCAAAAGGATCAACTAAAAGCAAATGTCCAAGAGAGAGATAAAATATCACCACAAGTAAAATGCAGAGATTTATTGACGTGCTTTAGCAAGCTGTAATAGAAAATGCAGAGAACCTGAGAGTACATCACTGAAAGAGACAGGGGAAGAAGTCCTCTTTCTAGTCCGTTGTGCTCAATAAATCAAGTAACTCCAACTGCCTTCAGCAAGTTTCCTCACCTGCCATGAGCTGTTCGTTATCAAGATCAGTCTGTCACATATAAAATAGTTTCTTATAGATATATTTGCTCTATGTAAACATACTAGGTAAACATTGACATATTAAGTTATAGTCTGTAATACCTTTCTGTGGTTGTGGGAATTGAACCCAGGGCCTAAGGAATGCTTTTATTGGACTGACTTACAGGCTGCAGGTCAGCTAATATTCAGTTCAATGGCTGAATATGATTAGAAGGTCCAAGATTCTAGAAGTTGCTCAGTTCCACAAGAGTCAATGTCTCAGCTGGTCTTCAGTATACACTGGAATCCCAAAGAAGTAGGCTCCAATGACAGTGAAGGAACCAATGTGCTAGCAAGGTGAGGGCAAGCAGCAAAGAGCAAAAGCTTCCTTCCTTATCCAGGCTTCCAGCAGAAAATGTGCCCCAGATTAAAGGTGTGTCTTCCAGCTTCAAGAACTGGATCAAAGGCTACCTACCTCAAAGGTTCAGACTAAAAGTGAATTCACTCACTTCAAGCAGAAAACCTCTCACAGGTATGCTCTCCAGTTCAGAATTGTAGTTCATTCTAGATATAGTGAAGTTGACAACCGAGAATAGCCATCACACATAACAAAGAACTATAGAGCTCCTACTACAAACTAGGTACTAGACAGTTCCTGTACTATAGTTATTTAGCAAAAGAAAGAAATAAAAACCAGAGACACAAACAACTAGCTAAAATGCAAGTCAGAGTTAACATTTTTGGCATATTGATAGATAAGTCATACTCATATCAATAATTAGGAAGTTATAGTTTCTAGCAAAGATATGGGAAAATAAGAAACCATGTATTATTGGTAGAATTATAGATGGTTCAGCCACTATTAAAAACTAACAAAAAAGATTCACTCCAAAAATTAGAACTACCCTATGATTGACTCAGCAACTTCTTTTCTAAGTATAGTTCCAAACCCTTGAAAATAGCCCGGAAGAGATATTTACCCACCATGTGTACCACAGTACAGCTCTCAGAGGTTAAATTGTGAAGGTTATAGAACATCCCACTGGGGGGGAGGGGGGAGGGATGGATGGCTTTACTATGTTTAATTCCACGAAGCACCCAGCCTTTTGAAAAGGAAAGCCCATCATGCTTTCCCATCACACATAAGGAATTTGAGACCTCCCTCGAAATGAAATAATATATAAGCCAACCACACAATGACAAACACTGTTCAATTTCATCTTTGTATGGTAGCTAAGGCAATGACACTAATAAAAGCAGCTAGTAGAATAGCGCCTGTCAGGGCCCAAGAGGAAAAAAAAATGAAGAGTTGCTGTCTAGCAGATGTAGAGGTTCAGACATGCAAGTCAAACATGAGGAATCTTTCCTTGTGTGACTGTCTTAACACTG